TGTGGAAACCCATAGGTATATTTACGCTTGTTATATCATATATATAATATATATACATATATATATATATATGTCATATCCTTACTTTTTCCTGCTAAAGCTATTAGTGTGACTCCCATCCGCCAGCCAATTAAATCTCACCACTTTGCCGAGCCTACCTTTGGGCATATCAGACCTCGAGCTCTCGAACCAATCAGAAGCAGCTATTCCAACCACGCAAGCTTTTATACAGGAAGAACTCATGACCTTTTTCAATACCAGCGTGGAGCTCATTGGCTGATAAGCATAAAGAACAGTTGGGTCTCAAAGAGTCCTTTAGTGGCTTATTGTTACTCGACCTCCTATTTTGAAGGAAAGATTGATTGGAGGGAATTTGCGAAATGGCCTCAACGGAAACCGTCTGTAAATGATTCTATCTGTCTGTATATATCCTAATTCAACCATGAAGGGCTTGGAATCCTGTAGGATTGTGCGTTAATATGAAAAAGGAGGCAACTTACTCAAGCGAATCCATAGCACGCGTATGCGGATTTGGGTTTCCTACAGCGGCCAAATCGTTGAAACTCTGAGGCAGTATGTAAGAAAGTGGGAAAAAAGGATTAATAAGGAAAATTTTGGACAAAGTGCTCTTCAAGGCTTTACTGTTGTTATGATAAGCTAAGACATATGCATGACTGAGAGAAGGGCTAGATAGGGAAGTTTGTTCAATACTGGTTAGAGACGAGGTTTCGTATAAAGTATTTATCGAAGAGGAAAAATATTAGGTAGGTTTCCTCAGTTTATCTAGATTTGATGAACTTATGGGGACCCCTTAGTAGGAATAACGTTATAACTTTATTTAAGTGGGTCAATTAGATTATTTTTTGTTCTACAGACGTTATCTATAGTCTTATCAGTGGTAGAATTAGTAAGCTTATGAATATCCATTCTTAACTCAATCGAATCTACGTTTTGCCAAAAACGACTCTTCGCGAAGTTGAGAGGAAGTAATGGCTGCTAAATAGTTTAATATATTGCCAATTAGAGTGTGTATGCTAAGATAAAGTGCTTTTTGCTTGGGAAATTGTTTGAATGATTAAACGGAGTAATTTTGTATTACGTCTATTGTACAGTTCGGTGGACTTTCATTTGGTATGAACGTGCATGGAGAAGAGATTCTAGGGTCGATCTCACCAGAAGAGGACGGCTGATTCTTGTTGTACTGCAGCCGTTTGGCTTTGAGACGACGTTCAGGTTGACGTAGTTTACGAGACCTCCCTCATTTAAGGTGAAAACGGGCTGAGCATTCGTCTATCATATGGTGACCATAGTCAGAGCCAGAACTCATTCGTGTAAAAGTCTAACGGTAACAATGGGTCAAGAAGACTATCCGGCTCTATCTTACCTCTTATATAGTATCTTTTCTTCATGCACTTTCATACGAAATGAAAGTCTTCCCAACAATGTCATCTCAGGAGGTTCATCGAAATCAAGTTACTCTGCCTATTGTACTAGCATCAGGTGAGGGTCATTTAGGCATTTGTGTTTTAATAAGATGAAAAGCCCCTAATAAAGTTAAATCATATTTTGTGGGAAATAATATTTATTTAGATCAAGTCACGATCCAACATGAAAAAGAATACAATTACGGTAGAGTTGAAAAGGTAAAAAATTAGGAGAATTTCAATCGACCTGTTGTTTTCTTAATCGATGTTTACTTAGAGGGAGTTGAGGGGAAAGGTTTAATACATTTGTTAAACCTTTAAATCTATTGATAAATTAAGTCAAGGTCAAGGCGAGTCGGATTGGCTACGATCTAGTCTAGTGCATTATTAGTATGAAAGGCTAAAGTGAATTCTGTTTTAGCCTTAAATAGCATACCAGTATAAGTGGTAAAAATGTGTTCATTTGTAGTTGTATATTTGTAATAGAGTGTGCTTACTGTAATAATGAAGGATACACGGAATTATTTTGTGATAAAAAGATAAATCTCAGAGCCAACGGTCGCAGTTAAAATAATTTGTTATTTAGTGATCTAAAAATATATTGTATATAAGTAATATAGTGTTTAGTACAGCGAATAGATTTGAATAACAAGTATATATCTATAAACAAGGATTAAGTGCCTCTTTATAGGTAAGTTGATGTGTATCATATCCATTTCAACTAAAATAAATTTTCAACTTAAAATGCTCTTAGTGGAGCGTGCTATTTGATAGATGCATAACTTTTCAATGTTCTCCCATCCCTAGATAGCCCTGAATAGAAGCCTAGCTAGATTAACCAAGCGAAAGTAGATCTAGAATTGTAATAAGCTTTTAAAATACAAATTCCAAATAAAATTTGGGGTAAGAGGAGTGCTCACCCTAATCCGTTTAGGATAATGAAGGATTGGTAGTTTAATTTTGCAACAATAATATCAGAAGGCATGCTTATAAAAACAAAAAACAAAATTTGGGGATCGTATAAGGATTATTGGTCCTATTATTGCCCATAGAATAGGGCCGGCTAATGGATTTCAGGTAAAACCAGGTAAATAAAAAATCGGCCATTGCCTGTCAGAACGGATTTCGGCAAAGTCTGTAAAAATATCTGAAATAGATGAGGCGAGAATGTGAGAATAATTTTGTGGAGGATTTACGGGAATCAGAAGTAATATTCAGTAGGCAGGAGTATTACTAGTAGGAGCTCAAAGTACTTTCAATAAAATGCTTCTCGCCATAACCTTGGGTGGATGTCAAAATTTGGAAGATAGGGAGCACTGAGAACGAAAATAGAAAAGCCCGGTTTCGAAAAATTTCCTGAGATAATATAGACCTTGAAAATATAGAATTATACGCAAATGAATACAAGCGGAAATGTATAAGTTCAGGACTAAAGTTTATCGTTTTTTTTAAAGATTTAGTAATCTAACAAAAAATTGAATTTTCAAGAGTCCCTAACATTCGGTCTATTGCCTTTTTGACCATAATTATGCAATAAGTATCAGTTTACTTCAGTTTATACAGAAGAAGCATAGGTAAAGATTCAAATG